AATGATGGCTGCAACCAAAAAATAGCCGGGCGTTGTGGCAGGTGCCTGTGGTCCCAGCTACTTGGGAGGCTGAGGCAGGAGACTCGCTTGAGCCCAGGAGTTGGAGGTTGCTATGAGCTGTGATGCCACAGCTCTACCCAGGGGGACAGCTTGAGGCCCTGTCTCCAAAAAAAAAAAAAAAAGAAAGAAAGAAAGTTGGGTTGTGGGGCGGCGCCTGTGGCTCAAGGGAATAAGGCGCTGGCCCCATATGCTGGAGGTGGCGGGTTCAAACCCAGCCCCGACCAAAAGCTGCAAAAAAAAAAGAAAGTTGGGTTGTTTCTCAGATTTTCCTACTGCCGACTTGGGATCCAGACTTCTTGGGTCCATTAAATTAGTCCATCTGTTTTCCAGCATCCAAAACCTTATTGCTGTCGACTCCTCTCTCTCCTCATCCTTCTGGGCTTACACCATGAAAAAAAAGCCCCTTCCTTCATTGTACTGGGGATCTGGGAGCAAGTGGACCTAAATATATGTGTTCGATCTAATGTGTACAGTTAGGCTAATGTTCAGTGTCTTAAAATTACAAAACTATTAACTTGAAAGCAAAGGCTCATACTGGTAATCAAGAGTTTCTTAAGCTTTGGATCAGTACTTTCACATGCCCTGTCTTCTCTGACACAGGTATCAACACTGTAATGGTTAAGATTACTCTTTATATTTTACAGGCAAACAAATAAAAAAAAAATGGAAGGTTCACATACTTTATCTGAAGCAAATTTGACCACAGGGGCCAAATCTGGAAGGCCTTTACAAATTATTAGAATTTATTATAAATGTTAAAAATCAGAAGACCTTGCATTTAGAAAAAACAATTTTCTACAGCTCTTAAAAAATTGGAAAATGGAGCAACATTGGGCTTGGTTAAGGTGACCAGATTTTAACATTGGTAAAGTGGGACACCACTGACCGGGGGGCAGGGCCTGACAACAATGCAAAGTTTGATAAGCAGTTCTCGATAATCAGTTCTCAACAATTATTTGTTATTATTACAGTTTAACATTATAAAATTAACAAAAATAATATAAAATCATATCCTGGCGAAATAGCCACATGGCAGCTGAAAACCGTATATTCCCTTACTGTTCTCCTGCCTGTTCGTGCATTCTTTCCAAAAATTGGGAATTTTTAAAAATGCCGTGGGATGTCTGGTCACCCTAGGCTTGGTCCCTGTAGCTCAGTGGCTAGAGTGCTGGCCACATACACCAGGGTTAGAGAGTTCGGAACCTAGCCCAGGCCTGCTAAACAATAACTGCAACAAAAAATAGCCGGGCATTGTGGCAGGCACTTGTAGTCCCAGCTACTTGGGAGGCTGAGGCAAAAGAATTGCTTAAGCCCAAGAGTTTGAGGTTGCTGTGACCTGTGACACTGCAGTACTCTATAGAGAGTGACATAGTGAGACTCTGTCTCAAAAAAAGAAAAAGAAAAAGAAGGGTGGCACCTGTGGCTCAGTGAGTAGGGTGCCAGCCCCATATACCAATAGTGATGGGTTTGAACCAGACCTTAGCCAAACTGCAACAAAAAAATCACCAGATGTTGTGGCAGGTGCCTGTAGTCCCAGCTATGCAGGAGGCTGATGCATGAGAATCACCTAAGCCCAAGAGCTGGAGGTTGCTATGAGCTGTGATGCCATGGCACTCTACCGAGGGCGACAAAGTGAGACTCTGTCTCTAAAAAAAAAAAAAAACAATAACAAAAACAAGAACTGGAGCAACATTGGCCCACACTTCCCACAGCAACAATCAACAGCTGAATTATAGCTGCCCCTTTCAAATGGGGCATGAGCCCTCTGGGTCACCTCAGCCTCCAGCCAGAGACTTTGCTTCATTTCTTACCAGACACTGGAGACAAGAAAGAAAGAAACCACTTTATTTGGAAAGTCAAAATAGAACTTAGTACAAACGCCAAAATAAATCTGTAACAGGCCACTTCTCTAGATCCCACTGAGTATCACCTGGAGTAGGGCAAATGGTTCCCGCAGAGACTGGAAACACAGAGGCAAAAATCCAAGCAGAGAATATGCATATTCTGTCTTCTTCCCCCCAATAAGCTGTATATACTGTGTAAACATTTGTTGATTTGTAAAACATGTCTCATACTGCAGGTAAATGTGCTGGGATTAAAAGAAATAAGATCACTAAAACAGCTACAACAGCAGTTTCCCTGCTTTTGTGCATCAAGCTTGCATTTTTTTTTTTTTTTTTTTT